CAAACTCGAACAATGCTCCCAAGCGACCGCTTCCCGGCTGGTTCGCCTGGCTTTGAGATGCCAACGTGTCGCCTTTAGCGTTGTGCGGTTCAGTGGCCCATTGGGTCCTCGCATTGTGTCGGGCTGGACGTCACGCCGCTTCAACCACCTACCGACGGCCGAGGCGCTTTCCCTGCACGATTATGCATTTTCGGTGTTTCGGCAGAAGGGCAGTGGCGAGTACGCGCTACCATACATCCTCGCGCCCGGGGCGTACGCGCGCAGCCCCATCATCGACCGCATCGAGGGTGTTGGCCGGCAGACGGTGGAGAAGAACGGGCAAAAGATCAAAGAGACTGGTATTCCCGTCGTCATGATGTACGGCGAGAACGACTGGATGGACGTCGCTGGCGGTCTGGCGTCCGAGGAGAAACTCAAGGCAGCAAAGAGACGAGCGCTGCTTGAGGGCACGGCGGAGGAGAAGCGGAGGGAGAATGGCTCGGCGAAGGTGATTGTCGTGCAGAAGGCGGGCCATCACCTGTATCTCGACAACGCGGATGATTTCAATGAGTATATCTGGAAGGAGATGGACGAGACAAAGAGCCATAGTCAGAAGGGACTGGCATGAGCACACCGACTGGGCAGATCTTGGGGAGCGAGCATAGAGATCTTGAGAGCCTCCCTCGAGACGCTCTTTTTTTTTGCATCTTGTGTTTGTTTACACCAAACTTTTTCAACACGATGACGACAGGATGGTTGCATCGGCACTCAACGGCGTTTTTCAGGGGGCGGCGGCAAGCATTGTAGCATTCAACGGGTCAACCCCGACAGGACGGAACAGCAGCAGCGCGCATTTCCGCTGACAGCTTTTTTTGGTAGCAGTACAGTACAGTATATCCGATAGATGAAATGGTAGATGGTATAATCCGATAGAGATGGAGCCAGAAAGGAAGAGTTTTGCATGAATGGTTTACCAGTCGAGCCAGCCCCCGGCTGCCAATCATCCAACATGAAAAGGCGCCTCCTCTGAGCTGCAATGTGAAGTTGCCGGTCGGTCATGCTCGGCGGCTTGGGCGTGGATGTTTCTCTCAGATCCGGCTGGGCACAGTGGTAGTGTTGCCGATCAGTCACTGCTGAAAGACTGGGGAAGTGAGACAGTCATATCGGCTTGCAACCTCCTTGCTTTATTCACCGCACTCAGAGATTTCACCACCGGTCGTGAAAAAGTCCATGTGGATGGACTGGATAAGATGTGTGCTCTTTCGAGTCGGCCGTCATTTTGCTTGAGATACGCCTGCCTACCACCCAGGTACCTAGGTAAGGTAAGCTACATTGCCTGACCCAGGTACTTACCTAGAAGTCCAAAGGAAGGGACTTACCTTGAGGTCCCAAGGTTGGAAGGTACGAAGCGCCATCAGAGCAAGCGGGCAGGTGTGACCTTCTCGCCGACTTACACCGAGCTTCACAGTGAAAGCGATTCCTGCCTCCTGCACCTCCGTTCGTATTCGTCCTCTGAGATGAATCAAAAACCAGGTCTCTCCCTCACACCAACACTGTCAGCTGCATGCAAATGCCGAGCCACACCAAGCCTGGACGCCAAAAGACCCGAAACATTGGTTCCAACAACCTGCTCCCTTGCCAATCGCGGCGTCCCATCGTGCAACAACACCAACCGGACCACTCCACCCGCAGGTCTGCCGTGTTTGCCATCACCCCATCAACATTGGACCAGCCTGTGCGTCTGGCCATCAACTACCCGACGCCGCCAGGCACCACACGCCCCGAGCTCCCGATGAGCCCCCCCTTGAAAACTCGGCCGGGCCCCAGCTTTACGTCACTTTAGACCCGTGCTTGCTTCTGCCGCCGAATCGGACGGCGCAGCGCCGGGGGTCCATGGCGCCAAGGTGCTGTACTTGGCGGCACTGGTCGAGGGCACGATGGCGATGGCCCGCTTGACGCCTTGGCTCCTCGGACCTGAATTGCCTGTGCTTGGCTGGCCGTGTCTGTGCCCATGTATTATGGATTGTTGGGCGGCTGCGCAGCGAGCGGTTGGCCCAATGTCGTCTGGACATATATCAGCTGTTGCTCCAGATGCTGCTCGACTGCGCTCCCAGCCTTTTTCATTCCCATCTTCCGTCTGATCTCTCTCCATATCAACGGTCCATCAACGACGACATCATCAGACGATAGGCAAGGTTACCGCCAGAGAGACTTAAACCACCCAGCACCGCCATCAAATCACCAACTATAACCCCCCCTTGGGCGTCACACACGCATCATGTCTGCCTTCATCCGATCCCTGCCCTTCGCCGCCCTCGCCGTGGCCTCTTCCGTCTCCACAGGCTCGCCGGACGCTTCGCCGCCTTACTCCCTGCCCTCGCGCTCCTTTGGCCTCGCCCTCGCCCAACCCAACGCCACAACCTCGCTGCCCGTCCCCGGGTTTGGCACCAACGACACATCAAATGCCAATGGCGCCGGCGCGTGGGGCCTCCGCATTCTTGTTGCCGCCGACGTGTCTCTCGATGACGCCGGTTCCGGCTCCTTTGCGGACGATGATGTTACCCAGCTCACTGTCCTCGCCCTCGCCTCACCCAACGGCATTGCACCTGAAGGCGAGGCCTGCGCCACCGTCTGGCGGGGCCTCAGCTCCAATGCCACGCGGGACGCGCAGGGCGATGACGGGAGCTGCGAGGAGCTGAGCGATGCGTGTAAGAAGGACCTCGAGGCGGCCGGTGCGTGTAGCGGCGATGTTGAAGTGCCCAGCAGCTGCGAGGACTGGATCTCGACTGATGTCTCCAGCTGGGCGTTCCGTAAGTTGAACCCTGATGCAGGCTCCTGACGATAAACCTTACTAACGCTTTGCAGGCGTCCCCAAGAACATCACGGAGACGGGTCGCTTCTTCGCCCACGCCAGCGGCGCCGAGGCTGAGGGCTCTGATGCCGCGCAGGAAGCCTACGCCGTGGCCGTGACAAACGTCTGGCCTGTGGTGCTCAGGTGGGGCGATGACTCGACTGCGCTGCGCTGCGTGCGCGCCTCGAGTGTCGTGCAGGGCAGCGATGATCCCGATGAGGTCCCTGATCGTGATGCGACCGACGGCGGCAGCGACAATGGCGAGGACGAGAACAGCAACGGCGGAAGCAACGACAACAACAACGACGACGACAACGCCGCCGGGACCCTCCGGACTGGGATCGTCGGGGGCCTGGGCGCCGTGGCGGCGGCGTTGATGCTGAGCGTGTAAGCGCCGGGTGGACGATGCGTGCAATTTTTAACGACGGTTGCTGTGTGATTAAATTCATAGAGCTACCATTAATGAGGGGTTGTAATGTACCATGAGATCGACTCGCAAGTGTCAAAGTGTATGTCTGCCATCCTAAGCTCCCTGGCCAAGGTGACTGTGACTCCTGCTCGACAGCGAGGAAGGACGTGTTTGACTCGAATAATTCTGGAACTGTATGCTACGGCCTACCTGCTATAAAAGGACCAGACTACGAATAGCCGACTTGGTGCCTGTAACGTTTGATAATACGATCTTCATCAGCGTGTCTCCGTCTACAGCCATACAAGACACTTCATCCTCGTCTGGGTTGCCAATCTGATACGCCGGAAAATGTTAGAGTAAAAATGGCCATGGCACCATGGCCCTCGGAAAAAGAGGCGTGCGTTCGGAACAGTCGCGGGGGTCCCACGTAGCTTTAGCTTCCAAGGATCCAACGGTATGATAGCGCCTGGCCATGTTTATTGCCCAAGAACGCCGGCGTACACGGCCAAGCTGCAAGCCTCTTCCTGCGAGGCTGATGTTTTCGCATCGGTACGGGCCGAGAACTAGCCACCACACCGTTATTGGACTTCGAGTTGGCGGTATATAAAGCTTCCACGGGCCTGCCCCTGTCGTTGCTGTTACATCGGTCAAGAAATGATAATCAATATGTCAACGACAGCCCATGAACTACTAGATCAAGATGGTCGTCACCAAGAACCGTCTCGTTTGATGCATCATAACTTTTTTCAATCGAAAACCCAAAATTCGCTGCGCCATGTATGCATGCAAAATGCTACCCAGATGAACCACCAACACCTCGAGAAAACACACCCGCTCAGCTCTACGAGGTGAGCACCCCGCACACCTCACCCTTCATTTGATCGTACATGTCGTAGAAACCCGTCCACATGACCCTGTCGGCGCACTTTGGCCTGTCATCCCGGGCCGGCTCGTTCTCGTCGCACGCCGGCAGGGCGGCGTCCCACTGCGCCTGGGTCCGCGACTTCCACGGCTTCGGCAGCGGCCAGTCGCTAAAGTGGACGAGGTACGAGCGCGAGACCTCGGCCATGGCATTCCACTCCTCGTCCGTATCGGGGGCGAGGTAGGCGGCGTGGTCGTCCGGCGCGTGGCGGAACTCGCCCGTCAGCAGGGCGAGGCGGCGGTGCGGCAGGATCATGGCGTTGTCGGCGAAGAGATGGTTGACGACCTCCATGTCAAAGTCGCCCGTCGTGACGGCATTCTCGACAATGCGCGCGTAGCGCTTCGTGTCGGGCTCGAGGAGCATGACGTGTGATCCGAGGACCTGCTGGGCGATCGAGGGGGCCTGCTTGGGCTTGGGCTTGGCCGTTGGTTTGGGGCTGCCGGTGATGCTGGTTCCACTTTCACTATCACTGCCATGCTTCTCGTGCTCACCCTCACTTTTGTCTTGGGGAGAGGCGGCCGTCGTCAGCCAGTACGCACGTGGCACGGCGACGGCGGCTAGGGGCGCGAGGAAGTAGTGGTCCATCGAGTTGAGGACGAGCGTGTCCGAGTCGAAGGCAAGGACGCGCGTATAGTCGGTCAGAGCAAAGGCGTGGCACTTGGTGAGACTGTCACGCCATGTGGCATCGCCCTTGGTCGTGGAGAGGACGCCAAAGGGGCGAAGCTGAATCTCGGGATGTGCCTCTTTTAGATTGCGAATCGCCTTTGCCTGTCTCGAGGTCCCTTGCGTCCACTTCTCGGGGTGGATGAGCACGAGATCGTGCTGGGCACCATAACGACGTAGCAGGGTGAAGTTGATGAGCTACGCGATTGTCAGACGAGAATGGTCCGCTTCCCCTGCGTAGGGTCGACAGGCCCAGCCCTTACCGCATTGCATAGATACTCCAGGTTCGTCGCGTACTGGACATAGGCGAATCGTGGCACGAGTTGTTCGGTTGTCCAGGACGGGGTCAGGATGTCATGGACGGCGTAGGCGGTGCCATTGTCGGTGAAGGCGAGCAGTTCGAGTTTGTCGTCGATGCCATGATGACGGTTCAGGAGCATGTAACTCGTTGTCAAGACGGTCACTGTAACGAGGACGCACAAGGCTCCGAGTCGGACGACCCTGACAGGCACCACAGGGACCATCTTTGTGGTAGTGATCTAGTGCTGTCAACCTCCAAAACACGCGAGCCAGCCACGATAGGGTCCTCGGCGGCGAGGCCGCATCCTATAAACCGCCCGCCGTGGACAGAGGTCGAGGTTCCAGACCCGCAATAGGCAGCAGCATTTGGGACATGAAAATAGTACTATATTAGCCCCGGTCATGTCGAAGGGCTTCGCTGCCATTTCTGGGACCCTGGTTTCGGCATCATGCGCGGCCTCAGGGTTCTCCACCTTCTCCACCTTGGTTGGAAAGCAGTGAAAAAATGGTGTTCCAAGGGCGCTATGAGCGCTCTGTCTGTGCTTCCACTTATTGCGTTGAGCTTGCGAAGGAATGCTTGTATGTGAGAGGGTGTTTGGTTTTTGGCCGAGATGGATTTGGTTAGAGTATCGGGTCACTCCGCAAGGATCTTGCCTTTGGGGGTGGACTGTGGACAGCCCCCTTTCTGCCCTCAATTTCGGGTTTCCTATTCTCCTCTCTCCACCGTGAGAAGCATTCAGAGCACGCCCCGTTCGTCCATACCAGAGCGTTCGTGCTTATAGTGGCTCTGAGCTTGAGACTCTCGGGCATGACAATACTGTCGGGTTTCCACAGGCACAACTTACAAGTCATGGCTGTCCATATTGGTTACCCCTGTCGGCCTTCCTAGTTCAGGCATGATGCAGATGGTGCCCTCGAAAACCGGAGGTCACTCTTAAAGACCGCCTACATCACCTATCTCCCTACGATCCTAGCTCAAGGTATATTTGGTGCCTTAGCGACCGAGGCGAGAAAGGTAGGTGGGTAACGAATTGTGTGGCGATCCAATACGAGAATCCAAAAAGACGCGCTGGCCTAGCTGTCTCGTCTGAGCCTCGGCCAATCTCTTATGAACTCTTTCCATCGGAGCACACCTCCAACGAGCCCTCAGGGCTACTGTACGTCTCTTGTCGTCGGGCATTTGTCGGATGAACTTTGTTCAGTCAAGTCCAACACGGTGTAGTGTCAATCAAGTGAAAGCTTGACAAGACAAGGCTTCGTCTTCAATACCTTCAGTCGCTATTCAGCTGTCCTATGATGGTTGTTAGCTTGCTGGGTACTTTTGCCCTGTGAGCAAACATAGAGTGTGGAATGAAAACGGCCATCCCTTTTGCTGCCCTCGAGCTCAAATTGCAATACACCTTTGCAGCAATGCTGCTCGTAGATGCCAACGTCGTGTCAGGAAACGCCGCATGCAGAGCTCCAGTGCATCTTGCAAGTCCAATACAAACAGCATGGGCTGGATGTCGTTAGCATGTAGTCTCTCAATGCATGCCGGCGCAGGCTCCAATAGATCCAGGGTTTGGTCGCGTACTTTCTCTCGTTGCGCACAATTCCCAAGTATAGCTCAACAGAGGCAGTATGTGAGAGCGTTAGGAGTGGAAGAAGGAGCAGCTCTCATAGGATCGCGCTTTCCTGAACTGTAGGCGAGGCAGAAGTCTTGGACTATCCCATCGTCCTTTCCCCCTTTCTAGAGGCTCGCCAGTGCTTCGTTTCCTTCCCTTGGGGAGGTCTTCTCTGGAGCAACGCCTGTTCTAGACATGAATCACTGCCTTTTCGACTCATGAGATTAGGCTTCTTGCTCCTCCGAATATCAACGTCCAAGGTTGCGTCGAAAGGTGAGAGACCCTTCTCCATCAAACATTACCCATATTCCATCTTTCACACGCCATATTCGTGACACTTTATTTCTTTTGAGTATTCGTTAACAGACATCCATTATCAAGCATCGTCTTTCAACATGGTGGGACCAGGGGAACCCAACGGACCCCTCACCGACGAGGACCGCGAACTCTTGGTGACCGCCCTCGGCATCGAAGTTTACGGGGGCCAGCCTGCTCAACCCAGTTCAAGCAGCCCCCAGGTCTCCGATATGCCTCCTCCTGCCGGGGGCGGCCGTCAAATGGTGCCGAATTCCCCGGTGCCCATGGCGTTACTGAATAGCCCCCTTGGGCCGCCCGCTTCGATCACGTATCCCCAACAGGTGCTTGGTAGCCTCTACAGCGACGCAAGCGGGCCAAATATCTCTTTTGACAATAGGCTTTTCCCAGGCAGCCATGCGAGTTTCAACAACTTCTTGCCTCCTAGCGTACATTCGACTTCCACTCATGTTTTACCTGCCTTACACAACATTTCTTGTGGAAGACCCAACTACGGACTCTCACAACCTTTCGGAGCGCCCCAAGGAACACCATACCAAGTTGCTGGAAGCGTCCCTCTTTCTTTTACAAGCCCTCTCGACAACAGCTTCCATAACGACATTAGCCATCCGTTACACTTGAATCCGGCTTTCGACCCTCACCCTTCAGAACTGGATCTCTTCGTTCAGACAGAAGCACAAGCACAAATGAACAATTCCAAGGACCTTTACGCTGAGGAAACTCAGGAGATGAGCCTCAGCGTGCCTTCTTCGACATACTTTGAGAGCCTCATGGGCGACAGTGTGCTCGAGGCTGATAGTGTCACTCGACAAAGCGAAATTCGTGCCATCCTCAACAAGGACAAGGTCCCAGTGGCCACTGAAAGGGACGATGCATCGGAAAGGGGCAGAAAGACCAGAAAGAGAAAAATGAACAAGCTCGAGCCTGGCCAAAAGCGCCGTGCCCCTAAGATGGTCGACGTGCTTCCCTACAATGATCCCCCGACGTGGCCGCCACGCCGGCGGAAGCATTCTAAGATGACCGAGATGGAGAAGGAGCAAATCGATGCGGCCAATGCGGATATTGACAGACAAGTCAAGGAATGGAACAAGAAGAAGAACAATGAGTCTGCCAAGCGCGGAAGGCAGCGACGCCAGAACAGAGTGAACCGGCTGACGGAGGATCTCGCCCAAGCACAGGCTGAGCGTAACTTTTGGAAGGCGAGAGCTGTGACCCGGGGCGCCAGCGAGGAGGAGTGGGACGTAGTGCCCGAGGGCGTTAGGGATGATCTTGTTGCGGACTTCCGCATCGACCCCGATGATCTGCTGCTGCCTCCCGAGGATGATTTTTAGCTGGGCCAGATGACAGATGAACAGGTCATGATGCGATCCAGAGAGCGTTGCTGATGAGGAATATTGCGATGAGGGATCCAGGAGAAAGGAGTGAGCTTAGCGTGCATTGGGTCTCTGACTGCGAGAGACTGCGGAAAAGGGCTTGATTTTTAGTGGTTTTCAGAGGAGGTTGAACTTTTGCTCGATACCCAAATTTGCACCCATTCACGACTGCACCCACTCATAGCTGCACCCACTCATAGCTGCACCCGCTCATAACTGCACCCGCTCATAACTGCACCCGCTCATAACTGCACCCGTTCATGACTAGGACCGTTCAGAGATACATGCGATCACTACAACTGCGAATCACAGTTGTATGTGATGCGATCTTTGTGGTGGTAACATCTGAATCACACTCGATCCAGCCAAAACGCAAAAAAAACTGCTTATTCACATACTGATCACTTCAGTGAGTACGAGGTTTCTGGCGAGAAATCAACTAGACGCCTTCGCTGCTTCAAACAGCTTCAAACAAGACCATTGCAGATAAGCCAGCGGAGTCGTCCGATGACCTCACGTGTGAATCGTGAATCGTCTCCAATGAGACAGCATAAAAGAAACCCTACAGAGGCGGCTCTCGGTAATAGTCAAGACGGACAAGGTAGACGTCATTCATGAACATCATGGCTATATTAAAGTACCTGGGTATCCCAAGCAGAGTAAACACGAGTGGTATCTTGTAGTACGCCATTGAAGCAGAACAGCACCAAGGCAAACTTGGGAACGAGAACGAGCAGCTCTCTCTCTCTCTCTCTCTCTCTCTCTCTCTCTCCCCCTCTCCCTCTCAAGTACACAGCCTTCTCCAACATAAGGGCACCTCGAGAGACTCATCTCGCCCTTCCGCTTAACACATTCAGGAGGTCACAGATGAGGACAGAACCTTCAACGCCAAGCAGTCCGCCCACACCCCAGAGAAACATGCAGCTTAGTGCTGCGGCTGCTGCTGCTGAGGGGGATACTGCTGCTGAGGAGGATATTGCTCCTGAGGGGGATACTGCTGCTGGGGAGGATATTGCTCCTGGGGGGCGTACTGCTGGGTCTGGTCCTGCGGGGCATAGGGCTGCTGCTGCTGGTACTGCTGCTGGTACTGCTGCTGGGGCTGCTGCTCCGTCGGGGCCGCGACGGCCGGCGGGTGGGCCTCCTTGTTGACGTGGCCCATCTCGGCATCGGCGGCGGTAACGACGGGGGCGACCTCGCCGCGGCCCTCCTTCAGCGAGGCGAGGATGTAGAAGACGAGGAGGACGATCAGGAGGACCCTGCAACGGTCAGCATGCCGGTCTGGTCATGGGTGGTTCTCGGGTCGCCTGTACGCGGGCTCGGAGAGAGAGCAGGCTAGGAAAAAGAACAAGAGAGACTTAAAGGGAAAAGAAGCGGGAGCTCACCATGCAAAGGCGCCGAGGGCGGCACCGGCGGCCATGGCGCTGCCGTAGCCGTTGCCGTCATTGCTGTAGCAGCCAAAGGCGTCGCACACGTCGCCGTTGAAGAGCCTGGCAATGCTGGCGGCCCAGGCCCAGGCGGAGAGGAGGAAGATGATGGTCAAGACGTAGCCGATGACGAAGGCGAGGCGGAAGTACCACTGGGAGAAGAAACGCTCGAGAACAATGTGGCTGCCGACGACGATGAAGATGAGGAGGGCCTGTCACCTGGTGTTAGTCGCTGGTCCCGCTGGTGTAGCCCTGTGCCTTGGGTGGTGGTGGCTACAACGGGAGGGGACGTACGGCGAAGAGCAGGAAGCCCGGCGAGCCGGAGTAGGCGCCGGCGTAGCCGTAGCCGTCAAAGAAGGAGAGGCTGTAGGCGGAGGCGATGAAGACGCCGAGGCCGAGGGCGAGGACGACGAGCTGGACGATGAAGAACCAGGACGGGACGTGAGGATGCGTCCTCGTGTTGAGGCCCTTGAGGTTGTTGGAAGACATGACGGCGGGCTTGTCTTGCTTTCTTCGAGACGATTTGTTGGCTTGGCAAATCGGGTCAAGGCAAGGATGATGACTTGATGGTTTGGAGGTCACGAGAAACTGCCTGTGTGGATGGGAGAGAGAGGCAAGACATGCATATAGACAGGAACCTCCCATTCCCCCCTCGTCAAACAGGAGGCGCAACGGCGCCTTCTTAATGTACCCAGGGCGTGATAGCCAAGGCCATCCTCACACCTCACACCTCACACCTCAGACCACACACCAGGCCCCGGCACCGGCACCGGCAGCGGCATGCCAACCACGACATGTTTTGAACAGGCCAAACAACGCCCAAGACGCCCGTGGCGTCGAAGGCTGAAGCTCGGCATGCAAAAGATAAAATAAAAAAACGGGTAGCAAACGCTGTCCAAGCTCCCAGCAGCCGCAGCAGCAAAATGGTGAGATATCGGAGCTTCGAGCTAGCTGCCTTATCCCGGACAGGCTCAGGGGTCCAGGGTGGGCTGCCCAACGTCCGAACCGCACGTCCAGGCCGCTTGGCAACCTTCCCATTCGCCGCCATCAAGCGAGCTGGGTGTCGGCGGTGTCGAGGAGTCACATTGTCCTTACAGTAGACTCTCCCGCTAGAAGCCATCGGGGACCCATGAGTGGGCTGAATCCGCCTATGCCTGACGTCTGACCCCCTCCCTCGAAGCGGCTCGCGCCTGGGAACAGGGCTGGCATGGGCGGCCGTGGTGTGGTGGTGTGCTGTCCCGGCAGACGAGAGGCAGTCGGGCGGCACAAAGCAGACGCATGCAGGGCTGCCAGACTCAAGCGTCATCTCTGCCACCCTCTCGCGGCCGTTTTGGGGTGGTTCCTCATGCGTCATTGGGTGGTGGCCGTGGGCCCCAGGACGGGCAGACATGTCCATGGAGATCATCACGATGTTCAGAGTCGGTCAGCTGCTCATCTGCCGGGTGATGCCGTCCTGTCGTGACCACCACCCTCTCTGCACCTCTCCTCTCTGTCACTTACTCTCTCTCCTCTCCCATTCCCGCGAGTCGACAGGCGGACGCGCCCTTCCTCGTCGTCGCACGACAGACAGATCGAGCTGAGCCTGAGTGCCACCAGACCACACTGCCATGTCCCCAACATTGAATCGTGCGTCACATCAGTTCCGCGCCAGTGACCCAGCCCCAAACCCAAACGAGTAAGCAGAGGGCGCGAGAACGACCCCATCAGCTCAAAATGGTGGAGGCTCAGCCTGGTCAAAAATAACACACGCCATCCCCTCCTCCTCCTCCCTACCTAGGCATCTTATTAGGAACCTGAAAGGTCAAGGTGGCTATCCGAACTAAGAATCGAACCCTCACTGCAAATGAAGCAGAGGACGGACAAACAAGAGAAGAGGCCGCCCAAGCCACAAATTCCCCCCTCCCCCTCCCATGCATCCATCCCTTCGAAAACGGCGACCGATCGGCATGGGCGCCTTTAATACTGGGACTTTTCAGTACGTAAAACCTCCTGGGACGACCCCCCGTTAGCCTGGGACATTCCGCGATTTCCGCTACATACATGATCTGGCGATGGCCTCATTCGGATTCCAAGCCCCGTTCCCCCCCTCCAAGAAAGAAAAAGTCAAAAAAAGCGAAAGGACGAGAAAAATTGCCTCCGCTCACCAAGTTAAAGGGTCCGTCTGCTGCTCTTCACCACGACCCGTCTACAAGGCGCAGATGATGCTCATAATAGATACCTAGCCTCGGCACCTAATTCTCCTAGCATGAATGCAAGCCAGCCCCAGCGACAAGCCCACCCTGGCTGTCAGACGGGCATATTCTGCCGCCCAGTTCCTCTTCCCCCCCCTTCCTCTCCTCGTTGAACCTCAACGCTCGCAATCACGCCCGCCCTTTCTCCGAGGCCACAGACAAGCTCAGCCTTTTACTGTCGTTTTGAGCTTCAACGAAGCCACGTAGTGCCAGCATTGCCGCTGGCTCGATTTCATCACGTGCTGAAGGCGCATCGTCATTAGCGATTTACAGGAGGGCACTCACACCCAATTTGAACTAAAACCTGTCACATCGCTCAGAGTCGCGTGGCTAGATCTTGATCTTTCTCTCAATTCTCTTCATCTTCTAAGCTCGCCGCAGCTGCACCCAGCTGTCTCTCTGTCTGTGCTGTGCTACTCGCTTTCCGAGACTTGATGACAGCGACGCGAGGGAACTCCTCCCAAAGTGCCCTCATCCGTGTCTCAAGTCTCAAAAACGTTCCACCGTCTCCGTTCCTCTCCTTCTATAGATAACCTGTCGAGAAGAAAACAAACGACATGTCTCGAAGTAAAATAAAGACAGATCCCCAAGTCCCATGCTCCGCCCATTTGCGTACCTCCCGTGGAAAACAATTACATGCGGGCTCTCATTACCATCCAACTCCTCGCTCAGAACGTGGCCACCGCCACTGCGATCGCCTGCGAGTCCGAGTGCGAGATAGACACGCTGATCTCTTTGAGACCTGCCTTCTTGGCCGCTGCCGCAGCATCGCCATGGAGCTGTGAGGGAAAAAAAAAAAAGTCAGTAATCATGCACCAAGGGGGGGCTTCTGTCAGGGTAGACAAGATTCAACGTACGTTAACCACGGGAGCACCATCCTCGTTCTTGGAAATCTCAATGTCCTTCAGCGCCGCGCCGGCGCCCTTGCTGGCGACGCCGAGGGACTTGAACACGGCCTCCTTGGCGCTCCACCGCCCCGCAAATGAGCTCTGAGGGCTGGGCGTCTTCTGGCAGTAGGCAATCTCGCCCGCCGTGAAGTTCCTCGTCACAAACGTCTCGTTCTCAATGTTGATGGCCGAGATGTCCTCGACGTCAACGCCGACCTTGCTGTTGCTCGAGACCGTCTTCTTCGCCAGCGTCTCCATCATGTCCTGCGTCGCCTTGGCCGCGCTCGTCTTGACCGTCTTCTCCGACTGCTTCATAAAGTTGGGAGCGTACGTCAGAGACGAAGTCTTCTTGTCAACCGAGACGCGCGCGTCGGGGTTCAGTAGGACCTTGCCCAGCTGCTCCTCATCATAAGGAGCGTTGCTCTTGGCCACAAACAGCGTGTTGTTGATCATGCCGTTGTGGAAGAAGCGGTATGCCTTCTTCTGGCGCGCCTCCACCTTGGCGCTGTAGGCCTCGTACGTCTCCTCGTCAAGCGCGGCGTAGAGGTACTTGGGATGCACACCAATGGCCTGCGCGCCCTTCTGACCGAAACCGAATGACGTGACCGAGAAGGCCTTGACGCCGTCCGTTTGGATGCTGCGGCTGGGGTAGACGATCATGTCGAACTGCTCCATGACAGCGTCGACGTTGTCGGCGTTGCGGTTACCGGGCACGAGACCCGAGTTGAGAACCTGCAAACAGCCGTTCATCATCCAGGCACCGGCAGCACCCTTGGGGTGACCAGTGAGATACTTCTGGAAAATACCCAGCACGGCGTTGCCCTTCTTGCGGCCAAGGTGCTTGAGCTGCTGGCAAATGACAGATGACTCGTTCTTGTCGTTCGCCTTGGTCGAGGTACCGTGGAACGAGGCGACGTCAAGGTCGTCGATGGTGAGACCCCACGTGGCGAGGGCACCACGCAGAGGCGCAATGGTAGGGTCCGACTTCCAAAAGTTGTTGCCCAGACTACGCAGGACCTCCTTCTCCTGCCTCTGCGCCTCCTTCTCAATGTGCAACGCACGCTCGTGGGCGTACTCCTTCTCGTCGAAGCCGTGGCCCTGAGCCTTCATGGCCTCGACCTCCTCCCAGAGGTATTCAAGCTCAGACTCCTGCCACTGCTTGACCTGCTTCTTGCGAAGTTCAATCTGGCGGCGACGGTAGTTGATGTCCAGAAGGGGCGAGGGGAACTTGCTGGCATGCTCGCGGGCCGTTGTCAGAATGCCCTGGCCAGGCGCGGGGACGGAGCGGCCAATCTTGTCACTGGCAGTCGTGGTGAGGGCAACGATGCCGTGAATAGGAACACCCATATCGAGGGCAAGCTTGGCAGTCATGAGAATCTGGACACCGCTGCCCTGAGACTCCATGAAGCCGTTACGGGTGGTGGTAGTGGGGCGGGACATCTCCTTGGGCGTACGGCCGTGAGCCAACTCATCGACAGCATTGCTGGTGGCCTTCATGTTGGCGAACTCGTAAGAGCCCTCCTCACCGAAGTCATCGAAACCACCGACAAAGACAATCTTGGCCTTGCCCTCCATGATGGTTTCGTAACCAATGTCGACCGACTCGACAGAGGTGGCGCAAGCACCAACAGGCGTCTTGATGGGACCCGACGAGGAGAGGAGCAACATGTTGACCCAAGCGGCCATGGTGTTGATGAATGATTCCTGGAGAATATCGTTCTGGACTGGCTTGTCGAGGAAACGATCGCGGTGCATGCCGCGGAGAGCGCCAGCACCTCCCATACCGGAGCCAATGCAGTTGCCCACCTCGGAGACGTGGACGTACTTGTAAAATTCGTAGGGATCGGTAACACCGGACGAAAGAAGCGCCTCGGCGACGGAGACGAGGACGAAGAGGGTGACGGGGTCGACCTGGTCGATGATGTCCTCCGGGACACCGTACTTCTTGGCGTCCCAGCCTGTGGGGATCTGGCCAGCAACGAGGCGGTCAAAACGGAGGGCCTTGGGAATCCAAAGGCCAGCGCCCTTCTTCATGCGCACAATGTATTCGCCAGACTCGGGAATCTCAAAGATCTCCACCTTGTCGCCGTGCTCGCGCTTGAACTCCTCAGCAGTCTCCTTGGATGCCTCGAAGGGCTCGAGGTCCTCCTCAATGACGACCTCGTGGAGAAGCTGCTTCTGGTTGGGGTCGTAGCCATCGAAGAGTTCGGGCTCAATCAGACGAATACCCGAGTGCTCCAGAATGTGCTTCTCGAACTTGGGCTTGATGTCCTTGTCCTCAATGGGGTCGCCAGTCTTGGCATCAACCCAGCCCGAGTACGGCTTGCCCTTGATGGGACCGTTGTGGTTCTTGATGAGACCCATGATCCAGGCCATCTCGACGCAGCCCTCGATAGAGAACTCGCCATAAGCCTCCATCTCCCAACGGGTGCGGGAGTTGCCCCAAGGACCAACCTCGGCGAAACCGGTGACGACAACGACCTTCTCGAGATCGACCATGCCCTTGAG